CACCGAAGTAGCCGCAATAAGTCCCGTCACCAACGGCGGCGACTTCGACTCCCCGACCAGCCCACACTCCCGGACTGTGAGCAAAGACGCCATGCGCCGGAACAGCTTCTTCCGCGTCCAGTCCGCCGGGCACGGGTCCAACCACAGTGGCGGCGGCGGCGGCGGGCTGGGAATACAGGACAGCCGCAGGGCCGCCGCCGGGAAGGGGGAGAACGGCACCAAGCCCGCAGGGGGGCCCAGCCCCGAGGTCCCGACGCTCAAGAAGGGCCCAGGCAGCGTGCGGAAGAGGCTGAGCATGCTCAGGCTGGGGGGCAGCAAGAAGAGCGCCGGCCAGGGTAACGGCAAGGGCAACGTCATGGGAAGCTTGAATGAGGGGTAGGACGACTATTTTCGAGCCTACTTTGGGAGATACAATGTTCGATTCGATAGGCCCGAGGAAGAGGACGATGGGTGAAATGAATTCACACATGGCAGCCATGTAGCTTAATTGTACAGAGATGGGGCGGCTGGCACGGCTTTTTGGAAGAAAATGTTTTTGTAATTGTAGCAGGACTGGATATGGAAAGGGGATAATAATTTCAATACTATTGCGCTCTTTCGCCACGCTTCTCTTTCTTAATCAAATATGTGTACGCATTTTTTTTTTGGAGTTAACAGATGTATTGAGTGCCTATGTCCCTCATCCAAGATAGGCTTACCGATCGTCTATGAGCCCGCAACCTCTATCCAAAAGCATGCAGGACCAACCAGACTGCTGCCCCATGTCTGATCAATAGCTGTAGAATAATCAACTCCTTACTAACTGCCAAATGATGAACGAATGATCCCTAAATCATGATACATATATCGCTGCTATCAAGGTATCCTACAACACATTCTCTTACTCAAAACTCCCTGTCTAAGCAGCAGTCAACTCAGCAATCCTCTTCTCCAACTCAGGCACTTGCCTCAGCTTGACGTCAAGCTCCTCCTTCTCGTCCTCAAGCTTCAGCCTCTTGTCGGCATCCAATTTGGTGAAGACATAGTTGCCCTGGCCGTCAAACTGGAGAATGTGTGTGTGGTACTTCCACAGACTACGTCGGTGGCTCACAGTCATGAGGGTGATACCCAGAGCCTTGGCGTTGTCGTACATGGTCTTTTCTATCTCCAGAGTCACACTACTAGTGCACTCATCCAAGATGGCGTACTTTGGTCGGTGGTAGAAAAGTCGAGCCATGGCGACCCTCTGCTGGAGTCCACCAGAGAGGACGTCTCGCCACTCAGCCTCGGCATCCCACCCCTCGTCGTAAAGATCAACGAGATGCTCAAGACCCAGAATCTTAAGAACGGAGAGAAGGTCAGCATCGGTCACGCCACGAGAGCGCATCTGGCGTAAAGAGTCGGGGTAAATGATTTGCTGCCGCAGGGAGCCGCGAGATAGGTATGGTCGCTGAGGAATGTAGAAGATGGCGCTGAACTGAGGCTTATATACTGTGCCGCCATACACTGGCCAGAGTCCACCAAGGATGCGGAATAAAGATGATTTACCGCAACCGTTAGGGCCAACGATGAGTAAATGTTCTCCATGCTTCAGCTCGAAAGACAGAGCCTTGATCAGGACATCTCCATTGGGTGAGATGATCGGCCTGCGAGAATGGTCAGTCTTGCAAATAGAAGTGCAGCAAAAAGGTACTAAAACTTACACGTCAATGAAAGTTATATCTTTGCTCTCATGGATTGTTCCTCGGCCTTTCAAAACAGCCTCGTTGTCCTCAATGCTAGAGGATGAAACAAGCTTCTTCTCAAAATGGCCAGCTTGGATATCATCCATCACATCCAACAAGGAAGCCACACGCGAGGTGTAGCCTGCCAATTCCATGATCTCACGGTATGAGAACATGATACGTCCAAATGCATCAGATGCCGACAGCAACATGCGCCTGTTGGTGACGAAAGATTCTGTCCTGTCGCCCATGGTCATGACAACTTGTCCAGGGATCTTGACGAAGACGGGGATACTGCACAGGATAAGACCAAGGGCGCCCCAAAAGTATTTGATAGTGAAGTCCTCCATAAATCCGTGGTAGAATCGGCGACGGAGAATGTAGTTCACATGCTTAATGAGTGTGAAGTACCCCTTGTCCAGTGTGTCCTTCTCGGCATTATGGCCAGCATACAAGGCCACTTCTTCGCTATAGTCGATGAGTCTAGAGTGTTGGTATCTAAACTCACCCTCCAGTCTCGCCTCATCAGCAACGTATTTTCCAAACGGTGGCGTCAGCGCCCTCATCACGTTAGCTGATAATTGGACAAGGCTTGCCATGAATACAACGCCTTCGCCACCGACGCTCTTGGAAAGGGAGTAGGTGTAAATGCTCTAGCTTGGTGTCAGCGTATACATTGTGGTTGGGTATCATAAGGCAGGTACAAACCATGTCGAGCATTGGCTTGGCCAGGTTGCTGTATAGCTCGGCCAGACTATTTGAGAACTTTGACACATCGACTGCAATGAGTTGATCAGCATTCTTTATGCGATCATCCAAGGCAGATATGCCGTAGAATGTCAGCTTGGATAAGTATTTGTCGTGGATGTGGTGTGTAAGTCTCGCCCGGTAGGCTAATGATAGCTCTGCTTGGTGGTAGGATAACTAGGCGCGATGTTAGAGGCCACCGAGAAGAAATATATGGAGGAGGGAGGGCCATACCATAGAATTGGTGAATGTGGCAGGGATGGCGATGAGCATCCACCATACAATGCGCTGGAGGAACTCCTTTCCCCGTCCCTTGACCAGCGCCTTGACGATCGCACCATCCATTTCGGCTACACGAACGCTGATGAGGGTTCGTAGCACAAGGAAGAAGCTGTGGCTGATCAACAGGCGGGCCTCCTTGCTTCGCCATCCTGGTACCACAATCTTGAGCAGCCGCAGCAGCGACCGGAAGAACTCGCGGTTCAACTCGACTCGTTTCTTTGGCTTGTCGGGGCCATCGCTCGTCGAGGTGGTGCCTCTCCTGGCGGCCCTCTGCTCGGCGCCACGTTGCGACGCGGCTTTTTGCTCCGAGATGGCATGGCGGATTCGGTTGGCAAGGGCGACGAAGAGGGTGATCCAGACGGCTCGGGAAATGCGCGTTCGGTGAGACAGGTACCAATGGGTCAGGTCGGAAAGTATACTGCGGATGGTGCGGTCCCTGAGGAAAGGAAGCTTCGATTGCGCTGCCATGGCTCCTCTTGGTGCGCCTGCGTTGCAGCGCGGGAGGAGAACACGGGATGGAGAGGAAGCGATGGAGGTAGAGGTAAGATCGAGACAGCGCGGTCGGGTACCTCGAGTCGCGTGCAGGCCTCGGGTGCTACAGGGTCATCCAGAATCAAACAAGACGGCGCACACCCTGCGGCGACATTGTATCTAGATGGATGACTTTGAGATGCGGTCAATGAGGGTTTGTGTGCCTGGCGGCCGTGGGTGCCACCCCAGACGGAGACGGCAGGCACGAGCTAGAGCCTCTAATTGCTGCTCCTCGGCCAAATCGTCATCTGTCACGGGCTTCCCCACGGGCATTTGGCTTGGCACAGCATGTGAAAGAGCCTCCGCAAATGACGAGGTACGTACTGCCTTTGAGTGATGACTAAGCAGAGCCTTCTTCGATGCCAGATGCCTTAGCAAGCCATTCATCCCATCCAAGCTCATCGGGCACTACTTAGATAGAAGATATCTAATTGATATAAGGACCGTATTATTCCAGGGGTTGGAATAGAATATATTCAAGGTTATTGGTAGATTTCTTTTATGTCTACAATATGCCTACATCAAAGTATCTTATGAAAAGAGCACCCACCCGCATCTGGGCCTAGATGAGTAAGTGGGGTTTGGCAGTAGATTTATTTTCCTCCAAGTTCGCGGGGTCCAAGAAATTTCCATCCCAGTCAGAGTCACACTTTTTGCAACGCCAACTTCAAACGCACTACACCAACCACTTGACAAATAACAAGCCCAAACTCCAACAAGATGTCGGACGACGAGAACATCTCCATCTACGATGAGATCGAGATCGAGGACATGACCTTCGACGAAGCCCAGCAGTCCTACTTCTACCCTTGCCCATGCGGCGATCAGTTCCAGATTGCCCTGGACGACCTTCGCGACGAGCAGGACATTGCCGTCTGTCCCAGCTGCAGCCTCATGATCCGAGTCATATTCGACATGGTAAATACATACTTATAACCTCCCGTCATTCTATGTAAACCCTGTGGCTAAATATATTTCAAAGGATGACCTACCGAAACCACCCCCACCCGCAAACGATTCCAACACCCAGATCGCCATCGCCGCATGAGCTACTCAATATCGCGCCGCAACGCCGCCGGGAACCGATCGTGCTCTTCGATCTACATGCCGCTGCATGCCAAGTGTGTAGCTGGAGTGCTAGTGCCCGCGGCCCACCCGGAACAGCCTCACACGTCGTATTGGTCATTTGCGATAGGCGGGCCTGAGTCGCTTGCGTCCTCAATAGCATCTCCCCGTAGCTACCATGCGGAAACCGCATAGGATAAGTCGCCAAGCCAAGAGCTGTGGTGCTATATGCTGTGTGGATGCCAACTCGAAGTCTTGAATTGGCCCGAGAACCCATCTATCAGGAGAGAAGGATGCGAATGCGAACAATCTAGTTCCTACAAGGCCGTGTCAAAGCACACGCCAGCGGCTCCAGCAAAAAAAAACGTGGAAGCGGTCTACCTCTTATCCGACAAGCCTTCACCTACATTCTCAGACTCCTCCTAATGTCTAAATCCATGGAGGCGATGCATCAAACACCTTGGTGTTAAAGCGCTGTGTTCAAGCGCAGCCCATCCAAATAAAAACAACCTGCACAAGATCAACCATTAGAGTCTAGCACCCACTTCTATAAGTCTTCTCGGCTTAGGTATATTGAGATCTGTCTTCAAACTCCTAGATATTCTCTATGAAACACACACCCAGACTGCTATCAAGGTCTGAATGATATTCCAGTAGTATCAGTCTCTAGCCTTAGCCACAATTAGGGTCTATATTATATGTTGGCAGTCGTTCCACTTTCCCGGTCCCTGGAACAACTCTGAATTGATGCCTTTCCAGAGGGCGATTTTCTGTATCCAAATTATATGAGACCCGTTGAATCTTCTTCTTATCCTCTGGAGTGTCAGGACCATCTTCCAGATGCGGGTACTTCTCCAGAAGCTGAGCTTTAACCTTGTCGAACCTGTCGTTGTTACTCGCTATGATGTGGGCGTGGGAGGTATTGATATCTGAATCCTCAAGCCTGTTAGGCAAAGCCTTCGTGTGTTCTTCTTCCTTCGTAGCGTGTATATGTTGAACGGAGGGGTTGTTTTGTTCATCCCAGAGGACGGTACCAGTGCAGCCGCTCAGATCGTTCACGATCACCTCGTCGCCTTTCCCCAACACCTTGGAGGACACAAATCTATCCTCCGGCACGACCCATTTCTTTGGTCCATCACTGTCTGGACTTGGATCGGCCGCATGCTTGGGCTCTTCTCCTAGGACGCGCTTCTTAAGCGAGCAGGATTTCGCTTCGCTCTTGGCATCGGTCTTCTTGTTGCCCTTGTCCTCTTTCTTAAGATCAGCATTCTTAGCATCCTGGTTGGGCTTCTTTCCAGTGGCCTTGTTGGTAGCTTTAGCCTTCTTGTTGCTGGAAGCCTTGGTAGAAGAAGTCCCCTTCTTACTGCTCGTAGTCTTCTTACTACCAAGAGCCTTCTTCGGGGTAGCCTTCTTAGGACTGGCCTTTCTAGAAGCAGTCTTCTTCCGACTAGAAGCTCCTTTTTTGGACCCTGATTTGTTCTTGCGATTAACAGCCTTTTTGGGACCTGCTTTCTTGGAAGCTCCCTTCTTAGGAGCTGCCTTATTGGAAGCTACCTGCTTGGATGCTGCCTTCTTGGATGCTACTTTCTTGGAAGTAGTTTTCCTGTTCTTGGGGGCTGCTTTCTTGGAAGCGGCTTTCTTGTTCTTGGGACCTGCTTTCTTAGAAGATGCCTTCTTAGAAGCCACCTTCTTGGATGCTGTCTTTTTGGAAGCTGCCTTATTCTTGCGATTAACAGTCTTCTTAGGAACTGTTTTCTTGGAAGCAGTCTTCTTGGGTGCTACCTTCTTGGAAGCGGTTTTCTTGTTCTTGGGGGCTGTCTTCTTGGATCCTAGCTTCTTGGATCCTGCTTTCTTGGATGCTGTCTTCTTAGCAGCTGTCTTCTTGTTCTTTGAAGCTGTATTCTTAGATGCTGCTTTCTTGGATGATGGTGCTTTCTTGGAAGCTGCTTTCTTGGCTGCTGTCTTCTTGGCAGCTGTCTTCTTCGATGGTGCTTTCTTGGGGCTTGCTTTCTCGGCAGCTGTCTTCTTGGGGCCTGCTTTCTTGGAAGCTGTCTTCTTGGCAACTTTATTCTTGGGGCCTGCTTTCTTGGACGGTATCTTCTTGGCAGCTGTCTTCTTAGATACTGCCTTCTTGGGTGCTGTCTTCTTCGGTGCTGCTGCTTTCTTCGGTGCTGCTGCTTTCTTCGGTGCTGCTGCTTTCTTCGATGCTGCAGCCTTCTTGGTGGTGGCAGCCTTCTTAGGAGTGGCAGCCTTCTTAGGAGTGGCAGCCTTCTTAGGAGTGGCAGCCTTCTTAGGAGTGGCAGCCTTCTTAGGAGTGGCAGCCTTCTTAGGAGTGGCAGCCTTCTTGGGGGCGGTGGTCTTAGGACCTGCGGGTTTCTTGCTCCTTTTTTCAATGTTCGAATTCTTAGATGTCGGTTGAGTCGGGATGGGGTGGGTATTTTCTCCATTGGGCTCAGGCTTGCGTTTGATGTCGCGGCTTTCCATCATGTAATTAACATCGCTCTGATCAGCGCGGATGCGCATGCCGATATCAGTATCCGGCGTAGCTGAGATGAGCCGAAGCAGAGGAGGTATCAGCAATAAGTATCCAAGTCGAGGCATCTTGTGATCTGTATGAGCCCGCTTGAAAGAAAGAATAGCAAAAACAGCAGTGAGAAGTAGGTGGGATGGAGCAGCCAGTTGCTTAGCAGGCTTTGTGATTTTTATTTTCTACCTAGGTAGACAGCAATTAATAAAGACAGCAGACGATGTTATTTTTAATCTCAGTATATGAAGCCCAATGCCTTCTCAAGGTGATCGTTGTATATCAAAATAACACAAAAAATCGACTAAAATTCCTCTCGCCAAAGCCGTAAGGCCTAGGCATGCAACTAAGAAAATCTTGGGACTAAAAATATGATAATGTCACTGCCGGCAGTGAGCGTGTGGATCAACTTAAGGCTTCCAGATGAAGCAATTCGCTAATCTTACAGGGTTGTGGGACATCAATAGTGCTCCAAAGGCCCTTATCAAGTATCAGCTTGGCCGTGAGTGCGTCTCGTAGGTTGATTGTGGCTGCTGACCGAGTGAGCAATTACCCTCCAGTGACATCCCATGAGGTCAATTCACGGGATGCCAATGACATGTTATTTCAATTTGGTAAATATACTAAAAGCACATGGTCTGATACGCCGCCTTGCCGGGCGACTCGACTTGGACATATTTGTGAGCCGTCTAGGTGAATATCCCAGCGGCTCACACGCAGCCCAGGCTTGCGCCTATTTATCACTTAATAGGTAGAAGAGGACTGTTCGAACAGTTGTTTTTCCCAGAGGGTCACTTTAGCTGACACCTGCCATGTTGCCATTGCCGGCGTTAGTACTCGGTATCTTAGCTGGAAAAAGTAGTGAGGGGTCAGAAGAAAGATCTGGTGCCGGTAGCGAACTGGTGAAAGAACAGCGCTATTAATAGACCATTTCTTATGTTTGGGCCTGTGTTCACCTAATATATATGGGGTTTCCGTTCATTTCATGTTTCTTACCCAAATCCAGAATCGACTTCATTTCTACCTTCATTGATCTATATCAGGGTACAGGAATAGGCAGGATGGATCTACACCGTCTACCACGTGAGACCTTGTTACAGATCGTAGGTTATCTTGGAGATTCACATCGACCAAGTCTCTACGCATTTGGACTGGCCAGTAAATCTTGCTATATCTCTGCGACTGTATTCATTTTCCGCCATATCCACCTCGCCCTTCGCAATCCTAGGGAACTGCAGCACGATGTTGATGCGCTTCTCGAGGCTCTCTCACGGACAGACTCCTACCGCCACGTCTCTACTCTCAGTCTCAAGGGATGTCTCGATGTCAAGAGACCAGTCAGCATACATACAGGGTTCGATGGCGTCGATCCTCTGGGCTGGTGGAAGAGTACGCTTGTGGATGAACCTCGCATCAACACTTTATTGCCCAACACTGAGCCCATTCATCGAGGAGAGTTCATTAATGACGACGAACAGTATAATGACCGATCCTCCAAGGATTATACAGCATGGGCTCCAATCATCAGCTTGGTCAAAACCCTACCGTCTCTAGCCAAGCTGGTTTACGGTTGCCCAGATCAATTCCCGCCTGGCCTGCTGGACGCCCTTCACAGCCATCATCCCCAGTGCAGGCTTCACCACTTGAAACTCCGGCTACAGACCCTATCATGGGACCATCCCGACCCTTACGAGATGGCTCTAGCCACATCGCCTAGCCTTTACAGTGCCAGACTCTACTACGCCTGGCGAGACTCGAAAGGGGTGGAGGGTTTCAGTCAAGAGGCAATGATGGAGCTTGTTGCCGGCCTTGCCCCCAACCTAAAGGAGGTTGCCGTAGTAAAATTCAAGCCGCCAGGCGCAGACAGATTTATCCACGGGCGAGGGAAACGGAAAGGCCTTACCTGTTTCCCCCCCCGCAATGGAAAGCGAGGGTCTCTGACCTCCCTGTCCCTCCTGGGGACGGCGTACCTTCTCTCGCCCACCCTTCTTCAAAAGTGGTCCGGATTCACAGACTTCAGCTGCCTCCACCATCTTGCGCTTGGGGGCGAAGGCGCGGGCTGGAGCCGGGATCACGTCAATGGGGTGAATGGCGAGGTGATGGCGTGGATGGCCAATAATTGTTCCTTCACACAGCTGAAAGTCCTTCGCCTTGTACTGGAACGTGATACTGATGCCACCCAAAGGGCCAATTACGGTGACAATGCAGCTCTCTTCTTCACATCCCTTGCGCCTCTGGATGAGCTTTCAGTAACAGGACCGCTCGAGCCCAAGATTCTAAAAGCCATCCTACACCAGCATGGGCCGACTTTGGAAAAGCTGGGCCTACATTCGTTAGAGGACGCATCTGGGGATGACCCTGCCCAAGTCTCTCGACACGAAATACCCATGGTATTCGCCAAGGAACATATCCAAGAAATACATACTCAGTGTCCAGTATTAGAGGAGCTGGCCATCCCAGTCAAACGTACACAATCTGATGCGGCCGAGGTCGACATCTACAAGAGCCTTGCCAGGCTCGACCGGCTAACATCACTATTCCTCATCCTCGACTGCTCAGACTGGCGGGTCTCCCGAGACAGCAGCTACAGCCCCGATCCCTCATTCGACGAAGATGATCGCGAGACTTGGTCGTTCAATGTGAAACGAGGCGATGTCCGGGTCGGCTTGATAAACAGCGCCGTCGACGAGACGCTGGCGCGGGCGATATGGAGCACGATCTGCCAGCACAAGGTCGGCAGGCGGCTGGAGTCGCTCAGGCTGTGGACCACCGGCGGCGGCGTGTTCGGCAACGACCGGCAGGAAGCTCCAAGCCTGTTCACGAGCCTGAGCCGCTCGTGGTCGATCACCCGGGTTCCTAGGGATGACAAGGAGGTCATCAGTGTCGAGGAGCTGGGCAGACGCGCGAGGGAGGCCAGCGAGAAGGAGCATCTGGAGAAGGAGAGACGATGGAAGAGAAGGCAGATGTTCGCCCACGACAACACGACTGGCACAGCGACCATGGAAGAGAATCAGGGGTTTGCGAAGAAGCCGAAGCCATCAGCAGAGCTAACAGATTCGGAGCTGGATGCTGTCGAACTAGACACAGAGGCGATGCGACTGTTCCGTCGCATCTGGCCCCGTGCTGAGAATAGCAAGGGCTGGCGCGAGGATTGGACAAGTTTCCCTCTTCAAATCTAGTGTCTGGATGCTCTAGACATCATTGCAACTCGTCTCAAAGTTCAACGGCGATGTAGTGAACTTGACTAGACTTCCAGCTCTATTAACATTAACCTGCTCTGGGCCTCTTATTAGCCTAGTGTAGCTCCCAGATCATGTTTCACGATTGCTATTTTTGTTTGTCGCACAGCCACGCAGTCCGCATAATCCATATCCTCAAGTCTGAAACCAAAGTCAACAACTCTGTTTTGCATTATGGCTTTGTAACTAGCATTAGACACGATTAGGCAGATTCTCCTCACAGAGGATAGTTTCGAGGAACAGTGAATCTGGCACTATATTCCTCCCATGCGCACCAATACCCCCCCCCCCAAATACATCTCGAATGTCGGACCGCATTGTCGGCCCTGCTTTATATGGGATCCAAAAGAAGAGTGAATATGTAATAAAAAATGATAATGTGCAGCCAGCGGGCAATGCAAAAAATAAAAGATGAAATGTTCCCAACGCCATGACAATCCTGGTCCGCGGCGGGACTATGCCTGTGATTGATAACTGAACGCCAATTCAAAAACCGCTCCGAGGTATCTATTGTTGGTCGATGAAAAGACAAAATTGGCCCAAAAAACCCCCACCGAAAGTGATGCGATGAAAATCCTCATGGTAAACATTAACGCCGACTCTTTTTGTGTATTAAGATTGCGCCAGCTGAGCAATCCCGCGGGAATACACGATTCCCCCATTCACATCATCGCGCCCGTTTGATCGAAGGCTATAAGACTAGCAGTCCGACGATGAAGAAGCCGAGGAGGCCAACCATGGAGCTCTCGGCATGCTGGGGAATGGTGGCCCCCGCCGTCGTGTCTGGGGGCTGCGAGGTCGATTGGCTGGCCTGCGTTGCGCTGGTCTTGGTGACTGTGGCAGATCCTAGACATTGAGATTGATTAGCCCCGATTGAACCAGAAAGAGGAAAAAGAAACTCCTCAATTGCGACGGGCATGACCATATACACACACGCCGTCAAAGCGGTGGGCAGGGTTGCCGGCAGCTCGAGAAGACGGGGAGCAACCACTCACTCGTTGTATTTGAAGAGGCCCATTGAGCTGTGGTCGTCGAGTTGGCGCTGTGCCCCGGCGTGCTCGGCGACTCGGGCGCGGGAAACAAGACATTGTCCAATGACCCCGAGGCCGTCATGACATGGACCGTGACGGCATTGTCTGGGCCGGCAGCGACAGCCTGGATTGCGACGGCGCCGCAGACTGCGAGCACTTGGGCGAGGCGCATCGCGATAGCTCTCTTCGTATTTGCAGGTCTTGGCGAGAGCAGGGGGTGCACTGAGCCAAGCTGCGGGAAGAACAGTGCTTGATAAGGGCCCCGTTGTGGACGTTTGCGTCTATTTGCCTATGTATCAAGTAATTGCCGTCTTGGCGAACGTGGAGGACGGGCAGGGCGCTTTCTTAATTGCTCGTAATTAGAGACAGTGGCAGAGAGCTGGAGAGGAAGATGGGGCGCGGCGCTCGCTGCAAAAGGAGGACGGGCGCGGGCTAGGAGGAAATAGTCAGGAGAAACTATACAGCCATCGAATCGTGCCAGCGTTTAGATGGAGAGAGATCTCCCGGTACAGGTAAATTAGTAGTCGGGGGGCAATCAAGGAGGCGAGAGAGGCGGACAACAGGACGATGTACCGGCCATGGACTCTAATACATATCTACGTTGCTCAACCGGAGCAGAGTGAACTGCAAGACGGCGCAGGTTTCGGTGATTTGGGAATGGGGGGAGTATCTCTACCCTGGTCGGAACCCACACGCATTATCGCGAATCCCTGCTGACATGGCTGCGAACATGGGCTGGGAGTTGGTGGCTCGACACCTGCTCCTGGCCATTTGGGCCCGTTATGGGGCAATTCGCCTGTGCTCCAG